TCAAATTGAAAGCTGTTTTTAGTATATAAATAAGGGTCATGTGCTTATGGCCAACTATGATGTATGCTAATCTTTGATTACCAATCAAACATTAGAGATAAATACAATATCAAATGCTCTTTTGAATCTTTAAAGGTACAAGAGAAGAACATCATCCACACTAAATGTACTTTTGAAAAATATTATATATGGAAAAATCAATGTAATCGATATGGTTTAATTTCTATTCTATTTGACATTTTAGCATAATGTAGGTTCGGTTTAGATTATATTGGACTTCCCCTATACATCTATATACCATTTAGAACATATATTAAATGTTTTTTTTTGTTTTTCCGGAAGAACCAAACATAGGAATTAGACGATGGAGGAAAACAAGATTTCAAGGACAAAAGGAAAATGTTGAGTAGAATGAAAAGGAACCAAACAACACAAATGAAGAAACATTTCCAATAGAACATGTAAAGACTTTGAACAAGTTGTTGAAAGAAGAAGGCAACCGTCCACCGAGGTAGTGACATTAGTTGAGCATCATGCTAAACATCCCGAGTTAGGTCCTATAATTGAATATTAAATATCTGTTAACTATAAAACCAAAGAACAAGAATAGTTAACAGATTTTTCGTGATATTGAATACTATATATATATATAATAAAATTAAAAAAGCTTGAGACCAAGGGAAGACAAGAAAGGTTGGTCGGATCTTATTTGGTTCAAGGGTCATATTCCTAAGTTTGCCTTCACAATGTGGGTGGCAAACTATAATAGACTTCCAACCCGGGCTAGATTGGCGGCTTGGGGATTAAATGTTCCCAAACAGTGCTGTTTTTGCTCCACACTAGACGAAACTCGTGATCACTTACTCCTATCTTGTGATTTTAGTGTGGAGGTTTGGAGAACAACCTTGTTGCCTATTTTTCCTCGTTTCAACAGGTTTAGCGCTTGGGAAGAAGTTCTTTCATGGATCAGAGGAAACTCTATTTCGGCTCCATCAATCCTCCGGAGACTTGTGGTTCATGCCACTATCTTTTACTTATGGAGACAGCGTAACAACGTCTTGCACAATCAAATCTCAATCCCTCCTATCATGGTCTTCAAGGGCATCTACCGTGATGTGAAGAACTCAATTTCAGCAAGACGGAAGAGAAAGCAATACCATAGTCTCATGGAGCTTYGGCTAAGATGATTTGTGACATCTCCACACATCTTCCTATATCTTACCTTGTTTTTTTTAACTTTTTTTGGACAAGGTATTATAAACACTAGAAGTAACTTTTGTAACCTCTAACATTTCATTGTCTAAATGATATTTACACTTCATCATAATAAAATTAAAAAAATGAATTTATTGAATATCTATTTATCATGTACGAAATTTTGTTTTGTTATGATTAAGTAAACCAATGAGCTCTAAGCTAGGGTTTGGGATAAGAAATGCCGTATTTTTACTAGGAAATTAGGAGAATCATCTTATCTGTTGTTTCATATTTCCTGATGAAGCCACTTGTAGTTGGGTTATTCAGAGAGAAATTTTGCACATAAATGATTGTTTGATGTTTTTGACCCAAAAAAAAAAAAATGATTGTTTGATGTTTGTGTCTCCTTGGAGACATGCAAAAACCATTACTTTGCCAGAAATCAACACTATCTCAGTTTGGTTGACATTAAAGAACATACCAAACCAACTCTACTCTATTGAAGGTATCAAGTGGATAGCTTATGGTACAAGAGAGCCAATGCTTATTCATAAACCATGGCTTGATCCTACAATAATGGTTAAGTTAGCTAAAATCCTCGCACGTGCCAAACACACGTACCAAATAAAACCGAGTTAATTTACACATACGAAGAGGAAAAACGAAAATCTCTCAGCACAAGTCTGCGAATTTGGATATCAGATCTGCTCAAGTCAGATTGATCGGTGTTCGGAGCTCCGGTAAAAATGGCGGCGGCGAGACAATTACGCACTCTCCAATCTCAGCCGGAAAACAAGGTATGCGTCGACTGTGCTCAGAAGAATCCGCAATGGGCATCGGTTTCATACGGAATCTTCATGTGCTTAGAGTGCTCCGGTAAGCACCGAGGATTAGGCGTTCACATCTCTTTCGTCAGATCCGTCACCATGGATTCATGGTCTGAGATCCAGATCAAGAAGATGGAAGCAGGAGGCAACGAACGTCTCAACAAATTCTTCGCCCAATACGGAATCCCTAAAGAGACTGATATCATTTCCAAGTACAATTCCAACGCTGCATCTGTGTATCGTGATCGGATCCAGGCTTTAGCCGAAGGTAGGCCATGGAATGATCCACCAGTCGTCAAGGAAGCGATTCGCGGCGGAGGTGGTGTGGGGATGAATAAGAAACCTCCGTTGGCTCAGGGCGGTTACGGTAACAACAACAACGGAGGAGGATGGGATAGTTGGGATAACGATGATTCCTACAGATCTTCAACAGATATGAGACGGAATCAATCGGCGAATGATTTTAGGGCAACGGGAACTCGTTCTGGTAGTGCGCCGGTGAAATCGAAGTCGTCGGAGGATATCTATTCCCGATCGCAGCTTGAGGCTTCAGCTGCGGGGAAGGAGAGTTTCTTTGCGAGAAGAATGGCGGAGAATGAGTCTAAGCCTGAAGGACTTCCTCCATCGCAAGGTGGTAAGTATGTAGGTTTTGGATCAAGCTCAGCTCCACCACCGAAAAACAATCAACAGGATGATGTTTTCTCCGTTGTCTCTCAGGTGATTTGGATGCATTTTTTTGA